TAAAAATACATTTATTCTTAAGTACTTAATATTTTTATGCTACTATAATATATTTTATTTTTTTTGTTGTTGTTACTGGTATATAGTAATGCAGTTGACTTTTAAATGTTGTTTTACCATACAGAAAACTTACTAAACTGTCTTTTGAGTTACTATATTTTTGCTATAAAATCATTTGGATTTTCTATAAATATAACCATGAATTCAAATAAGAACAATTTCATTTATTTCTTTTCAGTTCTTGCTCCTCTTATTCCTTTTTCTTGCCTTCTCATGCTGTTTGAAACCTCCACGAAGTTGACAGTGGGCAGTTTGTCTCACTCTCAGTCTCTAGGAGAAAGCTGCAATGATTCAACGTTAAATATGATGTTTGCAATAGGATTTTTCTAAGTATCATTTTTTAAAGTTCTAGTCCTAATTTGCTAAAATTTTTATTATGAATGCATTTTGACTTATATTAACTGTATTTTCTGCATCTTTAGATATGATATGACTTCTTTCCTTCAGTCTGTTACTATGGTAAATTACATTAACAGATTAAATATTATAACTGTGAGGAAACCAACTTGGTCTAAAAGTATAATAAATATTTTCTATATATTGCTAGATTTGTTTTATAATATTTTGTTTAAAATCTTTTTCTTTTATGCTTCTGAGTGTGATAGGCCTAGTGATTTTCACTTCTTATACTGTCCTTGTCTAGCTTTACAGTTACTTTATCCTTATAAAATGAGTGAAGCAAGTTCCTTCTCTAAAACAGGCTTGATCTATCAAGTCTTATTAGTAATTTTTCCCATTTCTATCTTGCATTTCTGTCTGTTTTTTGTGTTTGTTTGTTGATACTGCATTCTTGAGGCTATTTAGTTAGGTGCATACACATTTCCTATTTGCTTATCTTCCAAGAATATTGAAACTTTAACAGTATGTAGGGTTGCTATTTCTCTCAAGCAATGTTTTTTGCCTGTACATCAATTTTGTGTGTAGACTTAAAGTCTTTATATTTTTCATATAATCATACTGTTTTCATTATTTTCACACTTTTTGAATTTTTTTTACTTTTTTACCTTCTGTGTCATTGTATTAGGTGAGTCTATAGTGAACAACTTATTTAGATTTTTTAACCCAATCTGATCATCTCTGCCTTATAACTAAAGACTTATGTATTTATTTTTAATGTAAATACTAACATTTAGAATTAACGATTACCATCTTATTTTGTGTTTTATATTAGACTATTTTTACTCAATGCTTTCCATACTTTTTAACATATTTTGTGTTGATTAGGGTTCATATTCTTAGTCCATTATTTCCTTTACTAGTTTAGAAATTATAGCCTATGTTTATATTAGTTTAAAAGTTACCCTGGAAATCTTCTTCACTTGCATACCTTTAAAATTCTAAAGTTAATCAAAATATATTTATGTCCCCACCATACAGTACATAGACTTAAGAACACTTTAACAAATTTGAATTTGCAAATATATTCAAGAGTGCATTGACTCGATGAAACTATATTTATTTATACAATTGTGTGATAAATATGTATTGAATTCTTAACCTAGACTCAGAACTGTGGAGGGGATTGGGAATACACCAGTTAACCAAAGAAAGTTCGTCATTAATGAAGCTATATAATAGTGGGAGAAACAGACAATAAACAAATGCACGTTATAATATGAGAGTAATAACTGCTATGAAGAAAAATGTATAAGCTGAGGGAATAGAGTGCCACAGGGGGCATAGAGAAGTTGGTGAAGGTAACACTGAGACAGTAAAATTTGGAGATTTATACAAAGTGAGGGACTGAGCCATATGGGGAAATGGCATTTCTGACAAGGACAAAGCTTTGTTGGAGAAATGTTATTCAAGCTGGGAAGGTTTAGGAAGGGAGCCGGTATGACTATGGCAAGGTGAGTGAAAAGAAGAGTGAGTGGAAAGTGGTCTGAGGAACAGCCGGAGCTAGATAGCGGACAGTTATGCAGACCACAGGAAGGACTTGGGGCCTAGTCTGCATTTGTCAAGAGGTCATTGGAGGGTTTTGAGCTAAGGAGTGACATGACCTGATTTGTGATTTTCAAGACTCAGTTTAGCTGTCATGTGAAGAACCTGTTGTTGGAAGGCAAAGGAAATAGTGAAGCCAGTTAAGGGCTATTATTTTGTCCAGGTGAAAGATGCCTCTTGGCCCCGATGGGAATAATGGTTCTCATTTTGGCCTCTGCAAACACTTGGTGTCACAACTGAGAGCATGCTGCTGCCATCTAGTGGGTAGAGGTCAGGGATGTTGCTAAACATGTAACAGTGCACAGGATGTCCTCCTCACATCAAAAAATTGATGGCCCAAAATATTAACAGTATATACGTAGAGAAACCTTGAGCTAGAGTGAGAGAGGTGAGAAGTGATTGTATTCAAGATATATTACAGAAGTAGAGATGACAAAATTTCTGAATGGACCAGATATTGAGTTGAAATAAAAAGAGGAATATGAATGAGTCCCAGATTTTTTATTTGATCTGAAAGCACAAAAAGAGGAAATACCACGAATGGAACAGAAGCATTTTTTTCCTCACACACAACACTAAATACCATATGTATTTTAATGGACGTTACCTCAGTGTGATAAAAATTGTCAAATATAATTTCCAACTGAAATTATTATTAGTCACATATATATATAATGAAGATACATACATACATAATAAGATGGAAAAAAGTTATAAACCAGAATTGCTCTTAGGATGGACATTGTATCTTATGAAGTTGCAACTCCAAAGGGGCTGGTCTGTGCAAGACAAGAAGTTGCTTGTTACTGCAGTGCAGTAGGAATGGAAAGACAAGGAAGAGAATAAAATGCCTAATGGCATCCACTCCCTAGCGTAGCACCTCCCTAAAAGTGCCCCCAAATTAAACAAAAAATGCTTCGAGCAAGTGGATTTAGAGGAGAGACATATAGGAAGACAGGGCTTTGCTGCTGGATAAACTGGAGTAGGCAACCCTAAGACGACAGGGATAGACTCCAGAGGTGGAGGCAGAGAGAAGGGTGGGAAAGTAAGCCCAGGATGCACAGAAATCATGAAGCTGTCATCTCACACAGCTGTGAAGTATAGCACCTGGTCCAGTTTAGCTACACATATATGACTGTTGATATCCATGTTACATGTATATCTCTTTATAGAAAAGACTGAAAGAATTTAAGTCCTTGCCACCCCAAAATGGTTCACAGAATAACAAGGTCAGCATATTCTGGGAGCTTATTAGAAATATCGAATCTTCACATCTACTGAATCAGAACCAGTTTTCACATGATCTCCATGGTTATTTTTCACATGCAATGAAAACTCTTGTGAAGCACCGCTCTAACCTATTAATTATGCTAATTTATGCAATACAGCATTTGGGTAATTTTTTTCCCATTGGAATTTTCTGTACCTTTCTCATTTTTTCTACAATGGATATGTACTAACTTTTCTAATCAGCTTTTAAACAGTTAATACTAAAACTTTCAATTTCAGGACAAGATGGAAAGATTCACTTTTCCCCACTTCTCTCTGTAGACATAACTAAATACCCCGGAAATAGTTCAAATACAACTATTAAAAGTAACCCAAAATTTAGAAAGAGGTGAATTGGCTAGGGACCACAGAACTTAAAGAATGACACCATTGTGAGTTCCCTGATTCTGGGTGGGCTGACACATCTTATGCCCCACACCAGCTAGCAACGATGGGCTCTATTCTGCCTGCAGCAGCAGCATTAGCAGAGCTCAAATAACAAGACCTAAACTTCAAGACAGCAACAAGAGAGCCTCTTCTTTATGGCAAGAATGCCAGAAGGCCCAGTGTCTTCCTCACAGCAGCAGAGAATACCCCAGAGCCAGTGACTCTTGACCCTACACCCATAGCAGTGAGCCACCAACTTAGGACCAGAAGGTGAACCAAGCTTGGGGTCTTTTCATCTTCCAACTAGTGGGAGAAACCTGCCAGGCCCATGTCTCCTGCTCCTCCACCAAGCCACTAAAGACAGCCTAGATAGGTTCCTCCTTCCCGTTGGCTCCAACACAGATGAAGTGGGAAACTCTCCCTCACCAGGAAGCCAGAGGACAAGCCGGAGAGTTTATTCTCCATCCCGAGGGCTGAGCATCCTCCACTCCCCATCTGGTGACACCAGACAGCCCAGCAAAGCACCTTCACTCTCCCAGGCAGCTTCAGCAGGAGTCCACCAAGAACTCGCATGGAGCCAGAAGAATGAGCAGACCAGAATGGCATTACAAGGCTCAGAAGAATAAGTTGTCATTGGAACTAAAACCCACAAAAGGAGGCCAGAATCAACCCACTAACCTAAAGGACATCCACTGCTGTCACACTTTCCATTTGAGCTCCGATTGGCTCGTTTTGCTATTTGAATAAAGTTAGTGCAGCCATTATTTTTTAAATATATTTATATATATTTATAATGGTCTAGCTATACCAAGTAACACTTGGCTGTTATTTGACATTATTTATCGCAATTTGTAGTAATATCAAGTTTGTCCCTACTCTATACCGATTCTTATGAATTGTTCAGCCCAACATTCGTTCCATCACTATACAGAGTCTCTGTTGAAGTAAATATAAGTGTCATTTTTTCAAGTTTCATGGCACACTTTGAGGCATGCTAATTGAGAATTTCTGTCTTTAACATTTATAATATAAAATTAGTGTTCAATTGTTTTTGTTCTGCCTGGACTTCCTTTGTTTTTGCTTTGATGAATCTTATTTACCTTAGATTTATATAGAAATGTGACTTAAGGTAATGAAGAAAAGAGATCCTGTCCAGTTTACAAGGTATAAAAAAGAAACTTTAAGGGTCCAAATACAGTCATAAAAATTGAGAAATTGATAGCACTTTGACAAATGGAAATTGTCCTGAATTCTTCAAGATTGTGATTTTTTGTAGGTAGCAATCTGGACAGGGACATTACCGGTATACTTAGACTGTAATGTTCATTTTTCTTTGCTTCTAGATACCGACTCATTGGTGAATCCTCTACTGCATGCATCATCGTAGGCAATAGTGTCGCTTGGGATAATAAAGTACCCGTTTGTAAGAGTGAGTTGAAATATTCTTTGCTATTATCTTTACCAATAGACTCATAAGTTTCCACCTGGGTTTATAAAAATCTGAATTGGATTCCTTTTCTGCATCCTGTTCTTCAGATAGTTGAAGGCAGCTCTAGTGTCCTCAAAGTACTTGTGGGTTTCCCGGCAACTGTTTCATTGAGTTCTCCCTTATCTCGGATGTGCCTTTTCTGATGCTGGGACTTAAATGTATAAAAGCCTCTAAAATTTATTTTTACTTCAGTTAATATGGAGAAATGTTGGTTCTGTCACCCCCAGTATAATAATCATTCTGCTTAGCAAAGAAATTAAGATTTGTAAAGTGATGGTCTTAAAGGTTAGTGAAGCTGTGGAGGAATCAATACTCTCATATGGAGGGCTCAATAAACCCTTTTGAAGAGCACCATGTCCTATAAGCTTCGAAAGTGGACATATATATGAATTCTGGCCTATTTTTTTAGAAGTCCTACTTCAGAAATAAACACAGATTTTTATAGGGAGATCACTGTGAACCTTTCATTGCTGCATTCTTTACAATAGCAAAATTGTTACCCTAACCTAAATGTACTATGTGTTTCAAAATATACTTCAGAAATAGATACTGGAAGGAAAGAAACATGGTAATAATGACTATATAGAATTTCCTAAGACACATCAAATAAGCATACAGAATGAGAAGAAATGCATCTATATACTGGAATTTTATTCAGTCATAAAAGAAAAATATGGAGAAGCACCTAATGACATATAAAGATGTTTATCACGTATATTTTATGTGAAAAAAGACAGATGGCAAAACAGTTTGTATGGCAAGATCTCATTCTATTAAAGATAATATACCTGTACCTACTTCTATATTTTCATCTCTCTCTCTAATTCGGTAACCCTTTTTAATATCCAAACCTCAGTAAGTGGTTTTAAGCCTTGCTGGGGAAGGGTAGGGGAAAAGTTGCATAATCTTTTGGATGTGTAGCCGGGTGCCTCTTCAAGACGATCCAGTTGCCCATTTCTGCAAACTCCTGTGTGTCAGTAAATGGGTTTCAAGTCTGGGAACTGGCTGATGAATAACCACACTCGCTATTTTTTAAAATTTTTAATTTTTAAATCATGTTTATTCTATTACAGTTGTCTCAATTTTTCCCCCTTTGCCCTCCTCCACCCATCCCACCCACCCCCCTCTCCCACAGTCAGTTCCCACTCTGTTGTCCATGTCCACAGGTCATTCATACATGTTGTTTATTTAGTCCCTTCTCTTTCTTTCCACCATTGTCCTCCTTCCCCATCCCCACTGGTCACTTTCAGTCTGCTCCATGTTTCCATGACTGTGATTTATTTTGTTCGTTAGTTTATTTTGTTGAACAGTCTACTTATAGGTGAGATCATATGGTATTTGTCTTTCACCAACTGGCTTATTTCACTTAGCATAATATTCTCCAGTTCCATCCATGTGGTCTCAAAAGTGAGGAGTTCCTTTCTTTTGTCTTTTAAATGCAGATTTATTTTATTTATTTATTTTTTTAAAAGACAAAATCCATTATGAAGTATTAAAAAATTTAAATCCATTGTAAAGTCTCAGCAATTAAAATATGACACCAGCACAGAAATAATCAAGTAGATCAATAAAATAACATGAGCATTCTAGAAACAAATGTATATATCTGTCTAATAATGTAATACATGATTAAATTGATATTTCAAATCAATAGGGAAAGTAAGGCTTATTCAACAAATAAGGTGCATGAACCACTTTTATTTGAAATAAAACAAATATAGAGCTCTATTTCACACATTACACAAAATATAATCAGGCGAGTTAAAAATCAATATGTAAAATCTAAGGATTTTTTGGAGAAAATACAAAATAAGACTTTTCTTACCCTGAAGTAAAATATTCAAACCCAGAAGCTATAAAGTAAAACATTGACAATATGACTATATTAAACATTTAAGACTATATGGTAATATACATATAAAAAAAGTTAAATAGGAAAGTAGTTGCAACACATCTTAAAAAGGGTTAATAGTTTTTTGGGGGTTTTTTTAGAGCAAAAATTGTACAAACATTAAATCAAAAAATGGATAAAAAATACCAAAAAGTCATTTAAAGCTTTTTAAAAATAATATAAATAGGCAAGAAATATACAAAAACAGGTTTAGTTTCAACAAAAATAAAATAACAATTAAAATAACACATCATTGTCACAATCAGATTAATAAGTATTAAAATTATTAGTAATATCAAGTACTAGTGACTGTGAAAGGAACTGGGTATTCATATACTCTTTTTCTTCATCTTATTAAAGCAGTTCCTTTAGCATATTTTGCAATGTTGGTTTGGTGGAGGTGCATTCTTTTAGCCTTCTTTTGTCTGGGAAACTCCTTATTTTGCCTACATTTTAATCGAGAGCCTTGTTGGGTAGAGCAGTTTTGGTTGCAGGCCTTTGCTTTTCATTCCTTGGAATATTTCTTGCCATTCCTTTCTGGCTTGTAGTGTTTCTGTTGAGAAGTCAGCTGCTAGCTGTATCAGGGCTCCCTTGTATGTTACTACCTCTGTCTCCCTTGCTGCCTTTAGGATTCTCTTTGTCTTTGATATTTGCCATATTAATTATGATGTGTCTTGGAGTACGCCTCATTGGGTTCCTCTTGAATGAGACCCTCTGTGCTTCCTGGACTTGTGTGACTTTTTCTCTCCTCAAATTAGGGAAGTTTTCCCTCATTACTTTTTCCAACAGGCTCTCTACCCCTTCTTCCTCTTCTCCTTCTGGTGTCCTTATTTTACAGATATTATTACATTTCAGGTTGTTCTGCATTTCCCTAAATGCCTGTTCATTCTTTTTGAGTCTTTTTTCATTTTCTTGCTCTTTCTGGGAGCTTTTTTCTACCTTGTCCTCCATCTCACTGATTCCACCCTCTGCTTCATCTAGCCTACTTTTGATTCCTTGTACTGTGTTCTTCAATTCAGGAATTGTATTCGTCATTTCCTCCTGTCTCTTATTGACAGTTTCTATATCCTTTTTCGTGCTGATATAATTTGCAGTAGTTTCCCTGTCATTTTTTGTAATTCAGTGTGAGCTCACTGAGCTCATTGAGCTTCCTTAAAACCATTGTTTGGAACACAATATCTGATAGTTTACTTGCCTCTATTTCAATTAGGTCCCTTCCTAGGGATTCCTCCTTTCTCTTTGACTGGGATGGTGTTTCTTCATCTCCCCATTATTGTGAGACTCTCTCTTCTTTTTTGCTTCTGCTTCTTAAATTGATCTGCCTTGATTTCCTAACTTTATGGTGTGAACTTCTATGGTAGGAGACTGTTGTTTTTTCTTTCTAGATCTGCCTCTGATGATGTCAGATGGTGACCTCATCTGACCCTAGGCAGTCTGTTTGAGACCTCCAGGAATCTACTGTTTGTGGTTGTCTCCTTCAGCTGTTAATTTAGTCACTCTGCACTCAGCAGGCCAGCTTAGACACCACAGGATAGGGCAGAGTCCCCCCTGGGGGCAGGTTATTGTGTCCTCTCACACTGCTGCTACTCAGGGGAGTGGCCTGCCTGAGCCAGATGGCCTCTGCCATATGGGGAAGGCATCAGCACCAGGATCCCGCTGGCTACTCTCTCCGTTCTCTCCTCAAAGCATCCTCACCCAGTCTCTTCTCAGGTGTCTCTAGCCCACTCTGCCTCTGCCTTTGTCAAGCCCAGGGTAAGTGGCTTCACATAAATACTTATGCATTGGCCCTTTAAATGGCTCTTTGTGTCTCCAGCCGCCTGTCTCTGGCAGAGAGCAACCCTGCTGCTTTTCGCAGATGGCTGCTATCTGTGTACTATTTTTTGGGCTCTGGTGCTGTAGGCTGGAGATCCTTGCTTATGGTTTATACCCTGCTCTTCTTAGGGGGATCCAACTGACTGTTTCAATATCCTTCTGTTGCTGCTGCCCTTGGGCACCCCACCTGCCTTCTCTAGTCTCTATCACATTCCTTACCAGTTAGGTTGTGCTAAAGCTGATTCTTCTGTCTTTTCAAGGTTATAAGGCTCCTCTCTTGCTATTGTTCAGTTCTTTGTCCCAGGTAATTTCTCCACAATTTAGCTGTAATTCCAGATCGGTCCTGGGAGGAGGTCTCTGTGACCTTTACTCACTCCTCCGCCATCTTGATTCTCCCCTAACCACACTCTCTTTTACAATGTTTCAAGTCAGACTTCTGGTCACCAGGCCTAGACCTTTTTAGTTGTACAAACCAACACAAACCCTTTAGTCCACTATTCACCTACCTCACTTTTTGAGATTCCCTGATCAATTAACTGATGACAAAGGTCTCTGCAGATACATCATTCTGATTTCTATTTCAATTGTCTCTGGCAATGAAGTGCTGCCGAGGTTCTTTCCTCCCCTTTGAATTCAGGGACCTGGTTCAACAACATCAGTTCTCACAGTCATTCCTGGTCTACATAGAATAGCCACCTCAGAGTTCTTCAAAGATGCTGAAACTCCTATATGAATGTGTTTCTCGAAGTCTCAGGAGAATGGTCTCTCTTTCAACACATTTCCCCACCCCCTCCCCACCCAACCCTATGGACTTAGTTAAGGAGTGGGTGATCAGGTCTTACAAAATGAATCCACTCTAGCATTCTCAGTTCCCTAGGCCATAGTGGCAGCAGAGAGGTGAGTGCCTAGTGGGACTCAAGCCCAGAGCCAAGAGGGTTCTTGGTTTTGCACAGGAAGGAATTCAACACCCAAGTCAGACACATGAAAGCCTAAAGTGGAAAAGCAGGTTTTATTGAGTAGAGAGGACAAACAAGAAAAGCCACTCCATAGACAGAGTAGAGAACTCTCCTCATGAGGGAAGGAAGAGAGGCCCTGACTGTCTCTAAGGATTGAGCTTGTATCTGTTTGTAGTTTCTATGGAAAAATGGGGTTATGGGGAAATAGAGAATGGAAAAAGTATGGGAAAAGTTTATCCTTTACCGGGTATACTTTGTGGCCTTGTGTTCTCCCTTTATGGTGTGGGTAAATGATAAGGTACTAATCAGTCTTTGCAGGAATTTTCTTTGTCCAGAGGTTCCTCATGGTCTGCCTGCATCTCTGGTGGGCTGAGTTCCATGTCAGACAGCACAAAGCAGGCGGCTGATGTAACTTTCTCTGCCTTTAGTTACTTTGTATAGGTTTCATGCCCTTCTCCATATTAATAGGATTTATTCCTCTGAGGTATGTTAGTAAAGTTCTGGCCTTTCAACTTTAGTATAATGCACACTCAAACTAGCACATTGGAATGAAAATCTTAGTTCTTTTGATACATTTGAATTTCTCGTGAGTCATAATTTTGATTCTCTCCCCACCCAACTGCACCTCTAGCCCTGCCGGGACTTGATTCCGGTCAAAGGACTAGAAACGATGTGAAGTGGTAAATGTAGGTCCTGTGGAAGAGCATGAGTTTTTACTATTTGAGTTGCCATTATTAATAAGTGAAAATATACTATACCCAGTTAAATTTGAATTTCAGATAAGCAAAAAATATTTTTGCAATATAGATATGCACAATGTGATTCTATGATATACTTAAACTTAGAAATATGTTATTACTTTACTGAATTTCAAATTTAACTGGACTACCTATATTTCCTCTGGTAATTGTATCAGGGCAGCTACCTCAGGAGGGGCCACTAGCATTTCTTCAGGCAAGGGGAGGCTTACCTTGTCAGACAGGAGAAGAAAAGCTGCTTCTCCTAGCAAAGGGTAACTCGGCAGAACTTCCAGGTTCAACTTATCCAGTACATTGGGATCTGTCCATATATCTCCAGCTCACTTTTCAGAATCTTCTTCCAAGCAATGTTCCAGCTTTAGCATAGAGACCCTGCGAAGTTGTGAATTCAATTTGCATTAGAATTCAGCCACAAGGTTAGATGTTAGATTTGTTTTTCAGAAATCTTAGCCCTGTGGCAATAAGATGCAAGTGTTATTTCAGGACAGATATAGAAACTTCCTTATCCAGGCATTGACCAGGAATTAAAGCTTTGAACTCACCATTTTTGTTCTCTCAAGTTCTCTAGTGCACTGAAAAGCAAGCAACCAACCCTATTATATTATGCCTTCCCTAAAATATTCTAGGACAGCAACCACTTTGTCACGCACAGCTTTGTTTCTGTGCTTATAGATGGCCATATGTGATAATTAGGGGACCTTTTGTCCCTGCATGCCATCAACTATTTGCATGCCCTTTTCCACAGTAGCATTAACATGAATTTCTTAAATATAATCATATTATAGAACAAATCCCAGTTTCCTCTGTTACCCTGGGATAAATATTTGTCCAAATATGGAAGCAGAACTGTCAGAATTATGAAATAAGAGATTCGTTATGGAATTAGACCTTCCTGTGTGAGCACCTGCTCTAAAAATGTGAGAACCATCATTAACCAGGTGCCTCAGAGTTGGAGCTTTCAGGAGGAGAAGCACACCTGGCTGCGGGGGCAGAGCTGGGAAGAGCTGGTGGAGAAAACTAAGGAGGGCTGGCTCTCCATGGCTGCTGCTACAGCTGCTGCTGCTCCAAGTCCACAGTGACATATCTGACAGTGCGTAGGACTCAGTGTAGGTGAGCAGGACAGGCATTTCGGGAGAGCTGTATGCAAAAACAGGGAGAGCAAGAGCAAACTGAAATCCCTGGTGCCTCTGCCTCTGCCGTCCCCTAGTCACCTCCAGCCAAAGGTCACCTTCAGAGGAGATTGCTTGTTGTTTCACTTCTGCCTCTCAAATTTCAGGCCAATTTCTCAAGCTTCAACCCTAACCCAGAGCCATATAGGCGAAGTACGTCTGGGTGACCTAGTTCCATTTAGCCTGGGTGACACTGAACAAAACCACTAGACAAGTACAATACAACTTATTTTCCTCTCTCTCTACTCTTCCCCCCTAGCCCACTTGGTAGCTTTCTCTTCTTAAATGAATATTGGTGATTTATGTTTTCATTTATATCATTTAGATTTTTAAAATGTCTAACATACAGTAGTCTAGAGTTTCATGAATATTCTCATGTATATGCAAATATATTCAAATTGTGTTTTCTACTTCTACATAACTCTGTAGCTTCTCTTTCCCTATAAATTGTTTTTTTAAAGCAAGGGTCTTATGATTTTATTTCTTTAAAGCTATGCTGGTTGCATTTATAACAAAAATCAGAAGAAAACAATTGGAAAAGAGTAAGGGGAAAACTGTATAACCTTGGTATAATATAAACAAGAGCTATTTTGAATGAAATCAATATAAATTGTATTAATAAATGGATATGTTTACAGGGCAGGAAAAGGGAGAGGAATGGGGAACAACTGGGACAGGTGTAATAGAACAATAAAAAAGTGGAAAATAAATAAATAAAAAATATATAATATTAAAAAAGAATATGAATTGTATTAATAAATACGTATGTTTACATGAAATAATATCAGTCAGAAAAGCAGAATTATGCTTTTGTTTTGCCCAACAAATTATAACTGTGTAGAATATAATCTATATGCTAACAAAGATTAAAAGGAAATAAATGTAAAAATAGTAAAAACTTAGTAATTCATTGGATTTCTCACACTAGTTATCTCAATTCACTATTATTTAAATTCTTTGCTTCACCCAGGTATTGAATGTGAGCCCCCCCCAGCCATCGCCCACGGAGATTACAATAACATCAACGGAGAGCACTTTCCCTACGGAACGGTGGTGACCTATCACTGCATTTCTGGAACGAGAAGGCCAAAGTTTGTCCTCGTGGGCGAGAAGTCAATACACTGCACCAGCGAAGACAATCATTCCGGCACCTGGAGCGGCCCTCCGCCTCAGTGCCTCGTACCTAATACATGCTCGCCTCCAGACGTTGAAAACGGAATAAGGGAGTCCGAGAACAGAAGCTTCTTCCCCTTAAATGAAGTCGTGAGGTTCAGGTGTCAGCCTGGCTTTGTGCTGAAAGGGCCCTCCAGCGTGCGATGCCAGGCCCAGAACAGATGGGAGCCGGAGTTGCCCAGCTGCCTCCGCGGTGAGTCTGACTGAGGCTCCGAAGTGGCCCGCAGGGGACCCGAGCCGCGGGAGGAACGGGGGGAGTGGTGCCTGTTCTGGCGGGAAGGTGCGTGGTGAGCAGCGTGAGTCATGTTGCTTAGCATGGAGCCTGAAACAAAGATGGGATATGTGTGTGTGTGCATTCGGTGCTTATGCCTTTATCTTGAGAAGCAAGACCATAATTAATCAAGAAAGGAGACATGGAGGACTCTCATACTGAATAAGTCTCAGGACAAAGCACCAGCTCTCAGTTACATTGAAAAATGATGTAAACGTTCTGGTCAACTGTGTAATAAGTACTTTATATGCACTGTCTCATTGACTCTTTATAACCCGCCTTTGAAATAGTATTACTCATATATCTATATGACAGTGAAGTTAGCTTGGTCTTTCAGAGGTTAAATTAATCATCCATATCAGGTGCTGCATACCCAGGAAAAGAATGCATGTGTGTCAGACCCTAGAGCCTGGATGCTGTCTGGATTTTATCAGCATCTACCACAGAAAGAAAGAAACTGGTTATGAAGACCAATATCCTAGCTTCAGAATAGGTACAAGGACCTTAGGGTTTGTCAATTCTGTTCTTCATCCCACATTTTATCGTTAGGATTCTGAGGTTAAAAGTAAAAGTAACTTCCTAAAAGACAAATAGATTTTTCATTCATCTTTAATTTGATAGAAATTAGGTTGACATTCAAATGAGCTCTGATGACCAAAGCTGGCATCAAAAGGGCTGATTACGGAGGCAGCCAAACCTGGACTGAAATACTCTAAGCAATATGCCCTTTCATTACATGGACCAGCATGTTGAGGGCATTTTGTTCTTGATGGCTTGTTTTGTCGTCTTATGCCATGATAGCTGGCTTAGAAGTGGCTTGGTCAATAATTGTGGCTGATACACAGGGATAGAGAAGGAACTTACAGTTCTTCCACCAACTCATATCAGCTTGTGCAATCACTGAGAGCAGCGAGGAGGACAAACAGACCAAGATATAAATATGAATTATTACTACACTTTGATCATAAGAGTGCAGTGACAGAGATGAAGGGAAAATATGTAAAATAGATTTACACCCAAGCAATCTTCTCATTATCAAAAGAAGAAGATGTAAATGAGATTCCCTTTTTAGCAAATATGTGCATGGGGGAGCCCATAAACACAAATAACTTCCTGCTAAATGGCCAGCGCCATAGAAGGGGCCCTGTGCCTGGTAGACTTATGGATACATATTAAACCTTGTGCAGGGAAAGAGTAGTTTCTAATTCTCTAACTCTTACTTGCTTTGAGGACTTTGGCTACATCTTTCCCCTATACTTAACTTCCACATGAGTAAAATGCAGAGGTTGGGGTATCAGTTGTCCCCCATAATTTACAAGAACTTTGTACCTGTTCTTTCCCCAGTGTGCCAGCCGCCTCCAGCAATCCTGCATGGTAAGCGCACCCTAAGCGACAAGGCCAACTTTTCCCCCGGGCAGGAAGTGTTCTACAGCTGTGAGCCCGGCTACGACCTCAGAGGGGCTGCCTCTCTGCGCTGTACGCCCCAGGGGGACTGGAGCCCCGCAGCCCCCAGATGTGCAGGTACATACGCTCTTGTCTGGTTTGATAGGTTTAGCTCGGGGCTTCTTCTCCACATACCTGTGTCATCGATCTCTGTTTTCCTTTTCCTCCAGTGAAATCATGTGCTGACTTCCGGGACCCACTCCCCAATGGCCGTGTGCTCTTTCCACTCAGTCTCGAGCTTGGGGCAAAAGTGTCCTTCGTTTGTGATGAGGGGTGAGTGTGAGCTTGCCTGGCCTTCTGGAGACTGAAACTAGGTTTGGAATTTAATTCAAAAAGGGAAGGTTTGGTGTGACCAAAGAAACAAACAAAGAAAGAAACAAACAAACTGGGAGGATTAAAGTTTGAAAGCATGTAGGAAAAGTTAACAGTAAGAAACAGGTGAAAATAATAATAGGAGATCTGAAGGGGAAAATGGGACCTATATTAAATGGCATGTGTAAAGACAAATACAATGACTGGTTATGAGTATATGAGATCTGTCCCGAAAAGGCCCAACCACTCTAAATACAATGAGCACAGATCGCGCGACACGATGCTCCCAGACAGCCAAGGTGAGTGGCCGGAATGGGCATGCATGAGCAGTGACAACTTCACTGTGCTAGTCGGTGAGGGTGATCGGCGCTGCTGAGTGAGCATGCGTCCTGTGTGGCCATCTCATTCAAAATGACTGAGCAAGAAGAGTGACAAATCTGCATCAAATTTTCCATTAAGCTTGAGGATTGCTCTGCAAAAAGTATTTGGATGATGCAGAAGGCCGCAGCTATGGGCAACTGGTGATGGGCAGCTTCACCATGACAATGTGCCCGCTCGTGCGTCTTGCAGGGTTTTGACGAAACATCGCATCACCCAAGTGTCTCTGCCACCCCTACAGCCCAGATTTGGCGCCCTGCGACTTCTGGCTTTTCCCAAAGCTAAAATCACCTTTGAAAGGGAAAAGAGTTCAGACCATCAATGAGATTCAAGAGAAAATGTCAGGGCAGCTCATGGCAATCGGGGGAACTGTGTGAGGTCCCAAGGTGCCTCCTTGGAAGGGGACTGATGCATCACAGTCTCATGTACAATGTTCCTTGTACCTTGTAGCTTCTTTACTAAATGTCTCTATTTTCCATGTTACAAGGCTGGATGCCTTCTGGACAGAACTCATGTATGCCACACACTGAGTGGAAAAAACATATTTTCTAAGCAGAGAAGAATAAAAGTAATTTGAAGAGTCCCCAGAACAGTTTGATATGTAAACAGAAAGCTTATTAAAATAAGTAAGATTATTGAAGAAGTATTTCAGTCATTCCTTTAACCGTCAAAACTGAAACTTGTTACAGAGGCAAAAATGTAAGAATATGCATGTCAAGCTAATCATAAATCTTCTGGTGGGTGATGGGCCAAGAGCGCTGTATGGTGAGCATGGTGGCTGACGTGATGTTTTCCGTAAGGTCCTGAACTTGTCCCTGTGAATCCGATGCTCTTCGCAGTGTGCACATCTCCCCATGGGGAGGATCAAGTGTGAGCAGTAAAGCGCCTGCTCAGAATGTTCCCAAGAATCCTGGCCAGCTCCCAGTGCCAATTCCGACAAGGTTTAGGAACCGTCAGGGTCCCACAGAACATTTAGAATTCCGGATGATTTCAAGCAAGGACACCTCCGATGTCCTTTCCTTTTCCCCTAGAGTGTTCACACCTACTCTCCCATGGCCCAACATGCTGTTGTGAGCCTCCTTCCCAGCCATCACAGATGTAGAGACAGAAGAACAGTCTTCCATCTCTTTCCAGTGATCCTCTTTTTCAATCCAAAGTGGGAGCTGTTCCACTCGCTCTTTCAGTATCAGAATTCGGAGGCTGTTGCGTTAGAAGACTGAGTTTCCCGTAAGGACAATGAGTAGATTGAGGAGGTTTGTCTTAGAACAAACAGCTAGAGATTCACTTCTCAGAGTCTGGGGCCAGGATCAAGGAGATGGCGGCTCTGCTATGAGTGCCTTCTTGAAGGCTGGGACTCCACGCTACGTGGCCAACTGACAGTGCTTTCCTGCTCTCCCTTCCTGGAGGCTGTGATTTGTCCAGCTTGGAGTGGCCCCCAGGCCCCTGCCACCTGCTGGGTTCAGACGCTATGATTTTCGGCAGGGCTGCAGATTGCTAATGAATGGCGTTTTGGCTAAACCAGCTCACCTACTCGCTACCTTTTGCTTCCTTAGATTCCACCTAAAAGGCAGCCCTGCTAGTCACTGTGTCTTGGTCGGGATGGAGAGCCGTTGGAATAGCAGCGTCCCTGTGTGTGAACGTGAGTAGAAGGAGAAACACCTTAGACCAATCCCCCCCTTGACCTGGTTAGTATTTTGACCTACGGCCACCCATGTGTGGGTCTCCTATTTTTTTAACCTGAATTATTGTGAAATAGCTGCTGACTTTATGAGTATTAACTTGTGATTAATTTGTTGTCATGTACTTTGCTGTGCATCCTGTGTTTTGGGATGCGTTTGCTCTGCCTCTGTCATTTTGAAAAATTCTGTGTTCTATGTGAAATATCCTGCTTTACCTTTAGGTCAGGAGAGATTAAACAATGGGAAGCGCTGACGAGTTTCTGTGTTCCTTCATTTCCTAATTCTTTCTTTTTCATTTTTTCTACCACCAGGATGCAATCCCTGTATGATTTTTCTATTTCTTTTCTAACATATAAGTAGGTAACATTTTTTTACTTTTGATGCATATCACCGCTTTCATTTTGTATTTTAATAGTTCTTTTTTATTGTATTTTTATTACCATTAATCCCTCCTCCTTTCCCCCAGGGCCCTGCAATCACCACACTTGTCCTGGTCCATAAGTTCCCTTTCTTTTTAGCTCCATCCCTCCAGCCCCCGAACCATCTGCCCAAACCTGTCAACCCATTCTCTATCAATGAGTCTGTCTCTACTGAGAAAAAAATTCAGTCATTCCCACAAGTAGTTACTGAGTACGTACTATGTACTTCATGCTCTTCTGAGCTCTGGTGTTAGAACTGTGAGCAAGTGGATTCCCTCTCCCCATGTTATTTATACCCAAGTGTGGAGATGGTCAGGAAATACAATAAACAAACAAATGTTATACGTATGGCAGAGCAGAGAAAGGCCAGAATGCGGGAAAGAGAGGAGCAACGTTACAGAGGGTAAGCACTTTAAGATTCCTCAAGCTCTCAAAATGCATACGTGAATAAATTATGTTGACGGATCAGAAGTAACAGATGACTTAAGAAATGATTCTGCGATGTCAATACCAAGTTCTCCTATTCTGCCCATTTGAAGAGAAGATTTTGCGTCACCTTTTGATCTTAAAAATCAGAATACGTATATACATATGTATGTATAAAATATTACTACAATGTGTATTTTGCTACAAATGTACTCAGACATCAAATGTACTTTTTATAATGAAACACATGAGAGTCACTTACACGTAGATGCCTGCTACCTGTAGCACCCAGTGTTTCTTGATGAGACATAACAAGTGGCTGGCCTACTGACGTGTATGAGAGCTCAGGTATTGACTGAACTGTCTTTCTTATTTCTCATGACTCTTAGAATTTGAAGTAGCTTCTTCCAAACCCTAAGCCTGGTTAGAAATGCCAATTAGTACCGAGGAGGGGACTGTTTGACACAGACAAGCATGTACTAGAGAGGAGTAGCTATTTGTGCCTTGCCTAAATACAGAAGAAAATTAAAGCATGAACAGATCCTTACATTGTAACAAACAAAGCATCCTGAATTGCTTAGGATTATCACAATGACCAATGAAGCTTCAGTTTGTTGGGTCAGCACTCTGTCATAATCAAGATGACAACCAGTATAAGTAAGTAAGCAAGGAAAGGTTCTGTATCTTTAAGGTGAGTAGTACCCATGGATACGTTGTAGAAACGTTTCTCACGAATGTAAGCTCCTTGGAGGACAGTGGCTTTATCTGTGCTGCATCCCAGGGCCCAGATAAGTGCCTGGCACAGAATAAGTGCTCAAGTAATATTTATTAAGTAGTTGAATGAGTAACCCTCCAAAGGGATGATTTTCTTCTACAGATTTTTAATAAAGTTAAAATACTTGTACAGGAGTTTTCTTTTAAAGTTTTGGAACTGAATTGAAGTGTGTAAAGTTTCCCTTATGCAGAAGACTTAACTGTCAAGAAGACTCAAGATAAGCACGTTCTTTTTTGTACTCTTTCAATGAAAACTGGGATTGAGATCTTACATCATTTGACTCATCTCATCAAAGGCCTACCCCAAAGACACGCTGTCATAAATGCTTTAGGTAGCAGCAACTCTAACACCCCGTGACTATGGAACGGCTCTGGAGCAAACTCCCCCATGAAACGTAACAGCTTTCGCCTTCTTTCCAGGAATCTTATGTCCAGATCCCCCCGATATCCTTAATGGAAGACACACAGGAAAATCTCTGGAAATCTTTCCTTATGGAAAAGAAGTAACTTACCTGTGTGACCACCACGCAGACAGAGGGGCGACGTTCGATCTCATTGGGGAGAGCACCATCCGCTGCACCAGTGACGGTCACGGGAACGGGATGTGGAGCGGCCCTGCCCCTCGCTGTGGACCTCCAGGTTAGCGCACGCTACCCACATCCTGGATGGGTCCAGAACACCTAAGACAGAATCCCAAAAGCCTGTAATTACAGCATCCTGTTTATTTGTGCAGGGACACAAGTAAATGCTCCATCAGTAATAAATGATTTTGGGATATGTCAGCATATAAGGTTCTGATGACCCTTGCTTCTCCAGAGCTGGGAAACGGAGGGGGATGTGGTGGATGGTGGTTTTCATTCTGACTGGAATTCAAAGGCAAATGTTGTCAAACCATAGGAATTGAAAGCAAATGCTTCAGGACCTTAACGAACATGAGTTATGACATCTACAGGTTTGCGGGCAAGCACAGGCCGGGGGAATACAAAGCCAGGCAAAATCGCTGTTAATTACATTGCAGACAAACAGCATGGAGTCCTTAAGCCAGTTTGGGCTAAGTTGTAAATTAAAATAAAGCCTATTTGCTCCTTTGCCTCCAGTAACTTTAGTCGTTGAATTCTTCTCCCTTCAGTGGAAAAGAAGAGCAAGGGAAGTTGAGCCCTAAGGAAAATGCAAAGTAAAGGGAGTGTGTAGTTCTGAGGTCTGGAGCAGGTTTCCTAAGACACCCTTGTCCCCTTAGACATCCATCTTCAGGAAGTGAAGTCTGTAGGAGAGAGTGAATTGGAGAAAGGACCCTAGTCCTGAGGGTACACACCGACCAAGGAGAAAAACGGAGAGAAAAGAACGATCCCGAAAGGAAAAGGACCAAGTGCTAGAGTGTCAGAAGTCATTTTTGCGCTCGCTGTCCTCCCCCTTCACCGTGGCTTCAATTTCAGGGACGCTTATGAGTGCCAACGTAGAAGTCTTTACCAATGTAGAAGTCTAGTCCGTACTGACCGAATCAATAGTGAGAGACAATTGATTCAGTGCTGTGACTTTCTTCTTGTTCAGACCCCTATCTGAGATGGCACCCCCAGTTTACTCATCCAGACTGTTAGGCCGGAGACCATCCAGGCCATCTTCGTGTGTGCTTTGTCTTTAGTGGTGAATTTCAGTCCTGACGGGGATGCTTTGAACTGGAAGCTAGTAGAGCTAATAGTTCAGCTCGAAGATAAAAGTCAAAGACCCATACAGAGAAACAAATATCCCATGGAAAACCTTGAAAATCAGCCAGTTTTTTAAAAATCTTTTTGTTGTTGTTCAAGTACAGTGTTGTGCATTTTTCTCTACATTTCTTATGTAGAGAAAACTTATTAAATAATTTTGAAGAGGTCAGAAATTGGTTTGCAAATCTTCCAGCCGATGAAGCTCTGGGTACAGAATTGGCTGTGGTATAACAATTACTATTTGAATAAATAATTGGAAGGGAGGTAAAGGACAGCTGAAAGAGAAGCTGAAAGAGAAGGTGTTGTCAAAACCAAGTGGAAATGATTTCTATTTTTCCAAGCATATGTGCTTTTGGGGAGTGATATATTTGAATCCAACGTGAGGCCTGAGCTAATAAGCCATAGGGTCATGGAGCTAAAGCTAGAATTTAATTCAATATACACTTCAGATGATGTTTCCTTACGATAATGAGTGCAGGTTCCCTTGTTTGTTTCTTTGCTATTAAGGTGATGCGATCTGTTCCCTCCTGGTGTTGAAGTGGCTTGCTTACAAGCCAGGCCTGCAAGATTGTTGGCAGCTTGCTAGTGTCAAGAAATACCTTGAGTCCTCCATTCATGCTTGTGACCCCAACTCTGTTGCGGTTTGATGCACAGAACATCAAGGAAATTGGACAGGAATGGTGGAACCCAGGCAGGAGAGCTCTTTCCCAGGAAAAAATGGGAGAAGTTGAATCGAAGCTGTCTTGTACAGTAAATTATATGAGCAAAGTGACCAAATGGTGGAACGCCCTTTCAGATAGTATATTTTCTAATGGGCATGTGCTAATGATGGAGCTCCCCACCCGCAAGGTTACACGGAAATTCTCTCTCCGGAACTGAAATTTCTTTGGTCCTGGCATCAAATCTAACGGCATAGAGATATAAAGTCCTTGGGTTTCTCTGTGTTAAGTCTGATATTCTTGATGTCTTGTTTGCTAGGATACTGTAATGACCCAGGCCATTTTCATTTTGCTAAGCTGAAGACCCAAACGAACGGGTCTGAGTTTCCTGTCGGGACATCATTAACGTATGAATGCCTCCCGGGGTACATTCGGAGGTCATTCTCCATCAGATGTCAAGACAACCTGGAGTGGTCAAGTGCCAAGGATGCCTGTAAACGTGAGTACACCCTGCATTGGAGGGTTTTTTCCCTATGTCTGACAAATTATCCGTAGGATCTTATTTAGTTTGTTTAAATTATTGAGATAAAAAACTTTTTTTTTTATACGTGTCCAGATAAGTGGACGTAAGAGTTGGTGTTGTAGGTCATTCCCGATTATTTGTTGAAATGTGCATTTCATGAGACTTTCCAAGAAGTACTTGTCGGGGGCGGGGGGGAAGCATTTTACACAGGGAAGAAATGAAAGGAGACATAATTTGCTTGAATAACCAGGTAGGAAGTAAAATTTCATACGAGTATGCTATAAAGCCATGATTACCCTTTACATTTTGATGAGAAATTTGAGGTAGAGATAGGACAGGTCTGGATGAGAGGTCCTTCTAACATGGTGCTTTGTGGGTGGCCTATTCTGAGGGGTCTGGTCAGTCAAAAATCTGGGGAAGCTTCAGAATTGCATGTACTTGTTAGTAAGCTACAGTGAGGTTGGGACCTTTTGCTATGCAAAAGCTCAGAGTACTCTACCTGGCTCCAGAATTCTGTTTCTTCCCATAGGTAAAGTGTGTCCAACTCCTCCAGATCCAATGAATGGCATAGTACACATAGACACAGACACCCACTTTGGATCCAGAATTAACTATTCCTGTAATACAGGGTGAGTTGGCAGTGACATCTCTGATTCAGATCTGCAGAATGGCCGTACTACCGTTTCGTCACATGGCGGAAAGGAGACGAGACTATAACCGTCCGCTGGTTAAAAGCCTGAACCTAGGTGTTCCATTTCTGATTGAAATGAACAAAGATGTGATAGGACTCAAGAGGAAATCGGTAACTTGTTGGAAACCAAGGCAGTGCATACAAAAAAAAAAAAAAATGAGGTACTCACCAGGGCGAAGGAAGCAAATGCGGGAAGAGCGTAGTAAAACCATAAAAACAGCCCTGCTGAGAGTGGACGTTGCGGGAACAGAGGGAAGGCATTGTGTGAGAGAACGAATCTTAAAAGTAAATGCACTGTTAGTTTGCTAGGGCTGCCACAACAAAACACCAGAGACTGGGGGCTTGGACAACAGGAACTACTTCTCAGGAAGTTTAGGAGTCTGGAAGTTCAGAGTTAAGGGGCTGGCAAACATGATCCCTCCAAAGCCTCACGGGGGTCGCTCCGTGCCTCTGCCACCTCCTGGTAGTCGCAGTCCTTCCTGGGCACGTGGCTGCCACTTCCCACTTCTGCCTCTGTCTCCCCATGTCTGTCTTCCCATAGCGCCTGTGTCCTCACATAGCATTTCTCCTCTCCGTATGGATCTATGTCAAAATTCTGTCTCTTTAGAAGGATGCCAGTCCTGTGAGTTTAGGACCAACCTAATGGCCTCATATTGACTGGATTACATCTTCAAAAACCCTATTCCAACCCAATGGCCTTATATTGACTGGATTACATCTTCAAAAACCCTATTCCAAATAAGGTCCTGTTCGTGGGGCTTGGGGTTTTGGACTCTTAACATACCTTTCTGCAGAACACCATTCAGCTCTATAACAGAGCCCCTGTGAAAATGTCAGTCACAAGGTGTGTACTGGGTGGCGGTCCTACCCTGGGTGCCTGCCTTGCTGCTGAGCACACAGTGGATTCTTGACTGCGCTCTCTGTGTGAGCAGCTGAGCCCATCCGAGTATCTGGGCTAAACGCGCGCCGCAGCGGGCACCAAAAAGTCGCTTACGGTCTCCGCCAAACGTACTTGCCACCCTAGGCTGGGAAGACCACAGGACATACAATCCGACAAACTAAAATTAGAGCAAGTCTACATACTTCGCTCTTTCTCTGAGCATTTTTCAGTATACTCGGTAAACACCCTGTAGGTGCCCTCTTCGTCTGGCATTACTGAACAAGGCGAGCTTGTCTACGGTATGAAACAGCAAACCACTGAGCGTAGGACAAGTCACGGAAGAAAATGGAGACAGACCAATTAGAAAAGTCAGAGTTTCCTATAACACAGCAGAATTACTTCCAAGAGATAAGGAAAACTTTTAGACAATTATCTGGTTTATGTATTTTTAACCTTAAAATACATCATTTTATTTTTACAACTAACTTTCTACTGCTAATTCATACAACTAAATTTATACAGATAGTTATACAGCTGTATAAAGTTTCCATAACTTTTTAATTTTAATGTTGACACTACTACAATGTCCCCACCCGCCCCCCTTGTGGACCTCCGCCCAGAGCCCGCCCCCGCCTTCCCTCTGGCCAGCACCACACCGCAGTCTGCGTCTATGGGTTTCCCATACGTTCTTTGACTTTCCCTTCAAGTTCTTTTATCCAGCCCCCCTCGCACTCCCCGCTGTCAGCTGTCAGTCTGGTCCATGTATCCACGCCTCTCCTTTCTATTTTGTTGGTAAGTTTGTTTTGTTCATTAGACTCCACATATATGTGAGAGTACATGGTGTTTGTCTCTCTCTGATGCCTTAATTTACCTGGCAGGATGATCTCCAAGCCCATCCATGCAATCACAGAAGGTAAGAGTACATTTTTAATGGCCACATAGCTTTCCACTGTGTACATCAAGATACCACAGCTTTTTTATCCACTGGTCTACTGGTGGCACTTGAGCTGTTCCCAAATCTTGGCTATTGTAAATAACGCCGCTGTGAACGTAGGAGTACATAGATTCTCTTGAACTGATGTCTTGGAATTCTGACATTATATGTCTACAAGTGGAATCGCTGGGTTAAAAGGCAGTTCCATTTTTAATGTTTTGAGGAAACTCCGTATCATTTTTCACAGTGGCTATGCCACTGTGCATCCCACCAGCAGCGCACCAGGATTCCCTTTTCTCCTCATCCTCGCCAGCCCTTGCTGTTTGTTGGTTTCTTGATGGTGGCCATGAGGGTGGGTGCGGGGTGACACCTCACTGTACCTCAGTTTGCATGTCTCTGGTGATTAGTCACATTCCACATCGTTTCATGTATGTATTGGCCCTCTCTGTGTCTTCTTTGGAGAAGTATCTATTCAGGGCCTTGGCACATTTTTTAATTGGATTGTTTGTCTTCCTGGTGTTAGTTGTATGAATTCATTAAGGATTTTGGAAATCAACACCTTATCCTATGTATCACTGGTGAGTATGGTCTCCCATGTAGTGGGTTCCCTTTTCATTTTCCTGATGGTTTCTTTTGCTGTGAAGAAGCCTTTTAGTTTGATGTAGTCCCATTAGTTTATTTTTTTTTTGTTTCCCTTGTCTTATACGTATCAGCAAACATATCACTATGACACATCTGAGATTTTACGGCCTCTGTTTTCTTCTAGAATTTTTATGCTTTCACAACCAACAGTTAAGTCTTCATCCGTTTTGAGATTTTCCTGTGCGTAGAGCAGGTCTGTGGTCTAGTTCCATTCTTCACACACCCCTGTTTGGTTTTCCCAGCACCAGTTATTGAAGATACTGCGTTTACGCCATTGGATGCTCTGATCTCCTTTGTGAATTATTAGATACCCATATAGGCATGGGTTGATTTCTAGGCTCTCTGTTCTGTTCCATTGATGTATATGTCCGTTCTTATGCCAGTGCCAGGCTGCTTTTATTCCATTGGCCCTGTAGTATAGCTTGATATCATGTATAGTGATACCTCCAGCTTCGCTCTTCTTTGTCAAGGCTGCTGACGCTATTCGAGGTCTGTTTTGGTTCCATATAAGTTTTTGAATACTTGTTCTAGATCTGTGAAATATGCCATTGGCATTTTAATAGGAATGGCATTGAATCTATAGGTGGCTTTGGGAAGTATGGGCGTTTGAATGATGTTAATTTTTCCAATCCACTTCTTTGTAGTTTCCTCAATTTCATTCTTCAGCGTCCTCCCGTTTTCCAAGTAGAGTCTTTTCCTTCTTTGGTTAATGTTATTCCTAGGTACCTTATTTTATTGTTACCTTAGTAAATAGGATTGTTTTCTTACTTTCTCTTTCTGATAGTTCATTCTTTGTGTATAAAAGCCCCACCAAATCCTGAATATTAATTTTATATCCTGCTCCTTCGCCAAATTCATTTATTGGAGCTATTTGCTTTTCAGTGGAGTATTTAGTGTTTTCTATGTACTATATCTTCTCATTTGTGAATGACGACAATTTTGCTGCCTCTTTTCCAATTTGGATACCTTTCCTATTTCTTCGTGTCTAATTGCTGTGGCTCGGACTTCCAGTACTATGTTGTGCAAGAGTGTGGGAAGTGGACATCCCTGGCTTGTTCCCAGACTTCAGGGAAACACTTTCCGCTTGTGTGTATTGTGTATGATGTTGGCCTAAGGTTTTTGTTATATGGCCCTTATTATGTTGAGGTAGGATCTCTCTAGCCCCACTTTGCTGAGAGTTTTTCATCCCAAATCAGTGCTACATTCTATCAAGTGCTTTTTCTGAGCCTGTTCGTATGATTGCGTGATTTTGTTACCTTCATTTTGTGTATGTGATGTATCACATTAATCGATTTCTGGATATCATTCCAACCTTGCATCCCCAGATTAAATCCCATTTGATCATCGTGTATGATCTATGTAATGATCATACTGGACGCTGGATGCAGTTTTCTAATATTTTTTTTAGTACTTTAGCGTCTATGTTTATCAGGGATATTGGCCTATTATTTACCTTCTTCCTAGAGACTTTATCTGGTTTTGAAATTAGAACAGTACTAACCTAGTAGAGTCAGCTTGGGAGTCTCCCATATTCTTCAGTTTTGGGAATAATTTGAAGACAGTGCCTGGTCTTCTTTGATGGTTTCATTAAGTTCACCTGTGAAGCCACCTGGACCAAGACTCCCATTTGCTGGGAGCTTTTCTATTGCTGCTTCAATTTCATTAGTTTTTCAGTCTAATCGTATTTTTTGATTCTTCCTGATTTGTAGAAACATTGCTGGCTTCTAGGAATGTATCCATGTCACCCAGGTCATCCAACTTGTTGGCATATAGTTGTTCATGGAAGTTTTTAACAATCCCTTGTATTTTTGTGATGTCAGTGGTTACAGCTCTTCTTTCCTTACTGATTTTATTTATTTGGGTCCTCGCTCTTGTTTTCTCCATGAGTCAGGTTAAAGGGTCAACAGTGTTGTTTATCTTTTCAATAAGCCAGCTCTTAGCTTCATTGATTTATTGTTTTGCTGTATTAGTGTCTACGTCATGTGTTTGTGGTCTGATCTTTATGATTTCCTTCCGTCTACTTGCTCTGGGATTTTTTGCTTGTTTTCTCTGACTTCTTTTCCATGTGGGGTTAGGCTGTTGGAGATTTCTCTTGCTTCTTTAGTAGGCCGTAGTGCTGTGAACTTCCTTCTCAGGACCGCTTTCAGTGTGTCCCATAGAGTTGGGGTAGTGACGTGTTCATTTCCATTTGTTTCCAGGTAATGTTTGATATCATCCTTGTTCTCATTGTTAACTCATTCATGGTTTAATAAATGCTATTTAGCCTCCATGTCTTTGAATGTTTCTTGAGTGTTTTTATTGTAGTTGATTTCTCGTTTCAGGCCATTGCATTCTGAGACAGTGCTTGCTAGGAGTTCAAACTTTAGAATTTGTTAAGGCTTATTTTGTGTCTCCACATTTGGTCTGTTAGAGAATGACCCAGGTGCGCTTGAGAAGGATGCACATTCTCCTGCTTTGGGATGAAAGGTCCTGTAAATATCAA